CCTCGGCCGCGCTCGGACGCCGAAGCGGAGCGGGGCCTGCGAGCTCCTGAAGCCGAGAGGTCTGCGGCCCTGAGGTCTGATACGGCCAGATTTTGGCAACATGTTTTTGTTGGGCATCTACGGCCAAAATCGTTTTGGTCGTGGATGCAAAAGAAGACGTAGACGTGGAATGCACGAGGAAATGCCATATACGAAGGACGTGGCATTGAGATATCAATATACATGTGAGTTCGCAATGCGCTTTGCACCGGCAGTTCGCTTGTATAGTGAACGTCCAATTGAAACACCTATTATTGCGTGTTTGTCTTCTTCCAACCCGCATTCGTACTTAACCTGGTTTGTTTTTTTTTTCTCCTCCCCCTTCTCCTCCCCATCCTCCTCTTCCTCCTCGTCCTCCTCCTCCTCCTCCTCCTCCTCATCATCATCATTATCATCATAATGTTTCTCCTCCTCCGCCTCCTCCGTAAGTCTCGTCATCCTACTACTCCTACTCCTCATCCTCGTCCTCCTCGTTCTCCTCCTCCTCCTCCTCCTCTTCCTCCTCCTCCTCCTCCTCCTCCTCCTCCTCCTTCTCCGCCCCCCATTATTAGATGGATCCTTTCGAATGTGTTTTGCTCCTGGCGGCAGCTGGAAAAGGGGAGGGGGCAAGCCTTCACGGGGGAGCGCGTGGCCAGCACGGGGGGCCGCGGCGCGCAAGAGGCGGGCCGAGAACTTGACTCTGTTCTCCCTCATGCACGCCCTCTCCGTCCTCTATCTCCTCTCCTCTCTCCTCCTTGTCCTCCTCGTCCTCATCTTCCTCGTCCTCCTCTTCCTCCTCCGCCGTTTCCTCCTCCTCGTCGTCGTCCTCCTCCTCCTCCTCCTCACTCTCGCCCGCCCCTCCCCCATCCCCCGAGGGCTGTCAAGGTAGCCCCGTCGACCAGTCCCCTCGCACGATTACCTTATCATTAACTTGAGTTTTTTACGAAAAGGCTCCAGGGCTGGATGGCCCTGCCACCAAGAGCAGCGGTGGCACTGCCTATCATCCAAATGTACGAGAGACACTCATAAGATCACGACACCCTTGGGGCGAGCGGGGTCGAGGGGGCAGGAGGGCGAGGAGGAGGGGGAGGAGGAGGAGGAGGAGGAGGAGGAGGAGGAGGATAATGAGGAAGAGGAATAATTACTGGAGTTGCTGGTTTGCGGACCGCTGTCCAGGCCTCTCAAGGGCCCCAGCGAAAGCAAAAACAATATGCCCACGAGTTGCAAGACAAACTGTTGCTGGATGGAGGGCTCTCCGCAACGAAGGAAAGCAACAGCAAAAAGGGGGGCCCGCGTGCAA